TCTAAGTGTTTTAGGGATTGTAATCCAGATCTGTTTCTTTTGAACTTGCCTTTCATTCTAAGTATTCTCTTCAGCCATGAGAGCTAGAAACTGAGACTCTTACTGTGTTTTGTGGCTCCAGAAGATGATGTTGAGAAGAAAAATCCTAATTTCTTGATGTTATTTCACTAGAAGCAGTGTTTTAATTATTAAAGAGGGCATATAACTTCTAGTTTCTTTGATTACTTTGGGAGAGAGGAAGGGAAGCTAGAATTCTGTTCAGAACCCCTGCCTTCAAAATCAAGAAAGCGCAGAAGTTATTTGCAATTATTGTTGGCACAATAGAAGAGAGAGATGCCGTCCAGAGGGAGCTTGACACACTTGAAAAGTGGGCCCATGAGAACTTATTAAGTTCAACAGTACCAAGTTCAAGGTGCTGCATTTGGGTTGAGACAATCTCAGATATGAATGTAGACTGGGAGAGGAACTCATTGAGACTGGTTCTGTGGAGAAGGACTTCAGGGTCCTGATGACAAAAAGCTGACATGAGCTTGCAGCCCAGAAGGTCAACTGTATCCTGGGCTGCATCAATAGAGGGGTGGCCAGCAGGGAGAGGGAAGGGATTATCCTCTTCTACTCTGCCCTTATGAGACCCCATCTGGAGCACTGTGTCCAAGCCTGAGACCCCCCCGAGTACAGGAAGGATGTGGAGCAGTTGGAGCAAGTCCAGAGGAGGGCTGTAAGGATGATCAGAGGGCTGGAGCACCTCTCGTATGATGAAAGGTTGAGGAGCTGGAATTGTTTAGCTTGGAGAAGAGAAGGCTTCAGGGAGACCACGTTGCAGTCTTCCAGTACTTGAAAGAAGCTTACAAGCAGAAGGAGGGACTGACTTTTCACATAGTCTGAATAGCGACAGGACAAGGGAGAATGATTTTAACCTAAAAGAGGGGAGATTTATGTTAGATGTTAGGAAGAAATTTTTTCCTTAGGGTGGTGAGACACTTGCACAGGCTGCACAGAGATATTGTAGATGCCCTGTCTCTGGAGGCATTTAGGCCCAGGTTGGATGGTCCCCTGGGTGCCCTTATCTGGTAGATAGAAGCCTTGCCCATGGCGAGGGGGTTGGAACTGAATGATCTTTAAGGTGCTCTCCAACCTAAGCCATTTTATGATCTTAAATGTTTAAATTAAGTCAATTTGTTTAGCTCTTCATGTTTTGTCTACAGAGCAAAGTTACTGTGTGATATACTATAGAATTAATTTATGGTACCTGTTTTATAGGAGGACTCCTGTGAATAATGTTACTGTATTTTAATAAGAAATTTATTCAGCTTTGCATGACATACTTTGAAATTCATTTGATTAGGCCAGGATGAAGAAATGTATTTCAGTGTAAAAGCATTCCAAAGTTATTTGGAAATGCAGGCTTCATTTTCAGACTCCTATCTTCACTTGAATCAGCTTTCAGGTACAGTGAAACCATCATCTGACCTGTGCAGATCTTCCTTAATGCATTTTTAAAAAGTGTTTTAAAAAGCAGTATACTCCTTATTTGAGAGCAGATGTAGATAAAGACAGGGCCTTTGATGAAACAAGAAAGTGAGACCAAGTTGGAATGGCAAGAGGTACTGATTTAAGTATACCCCCCTACGAGAACACCTTAGCTCAGGCAGTACTCCTCAAAGCTCCACAAAGCCTTTGATCTGTTTTTGCAGTTTGTAATGTAAAAGAAAATCAGAAGAGTTTTGTGTAAGTTAGGACAAAACCATGGCTGTTTTTCAAAGCTTTACTTTAAAACGGTTTCTGAATCTGTGTGAGCATTTTTAGACAAAATCCTTGGTTATAGTGGCACAATCAAAATGATTGAGCTAGCACACCTAGGTGAGTTACTTCTCATTAGCTGAGCCATCATGTGGCTTAAGCTAACACCTTCTACTTTGTGATTAATGTGTGAGAAAAGTGTATTCCTAGTTAATTACAATGTCTCAAATGAAAAGTAGCAACACATTAGTCTCCAGTAATTTAATTGCTTTCACTTATGCATCCATTCCCTTACTTATTTTGTGAGTAGTTTTATTGATTAAGGGGTGGAATTAGGGCTGAACTTCTGGTGTATGATATGCTTCTCATGAATATTGCACATTTTATCTTTCTATCTTTGCTTTGTTTCTTAATTTCTTCATTTGTAAAATAGAACTTAAAACTGCAAGGACATGCACATATACATAAACACACACACACAAAAAATCAGGGGAAAAAAAAAGCCAACAGTTGAAAGTAAGAATTCTGCTTTCTTACTGTCATCTGTAAGGCTCTTCATTCTCAACCCTTCTGTGCTTTAGCCTGGGGCTTAATTCACTGAACAGTACTGATCAAGCTTGACTTAAGTTTCATTCCAGTTGTTGCACCTGTTAGAATGGAAAAGCATTGGAGAGGCTAACATTGCCCGTACTGTATGATTTGGCTGTGAAGATGCATTGGTTAAGACAACATTGGTGTAACTTCAGAACTTCTAATCTGTGTACAGCTTTTCATATATGGTGTCCATATTTGTGAGTGACAAGCAACAAATGAGCACCTAGACACAGACTGCAGTCTAGAAGAACCTCCTCAATAGCAAAACAGGCATCCGCCTGTGCAATGCACCATAGACAAATCGATCAGTGCACATATTTTCATGAGATTCCCTGTCCTATTTCCAGATTGACTGTTGGTAGATCTTAAGCTCATGAGATGCACTGGAAAAATTTAAGTCAGCATATGTTGAGTGTTAAATCAATTATATGATTCTGCACCATTATACTAGAGCTCTTCCCTTATTATGGTGCTGGCAGACACCTTTGGTGATTATTTTTATTTGTGGCCTCATCACAGAATTCTTGTGTGTTTTTGAGGAAGCTGGTTTATCACTTTACTACCAGGCTTTTCAGCTGAAAATCTTCACCATGAAGTTTAATTAGGGCCCAGAAAAAAGAAAACTTCTGACTTCACTGAGGGTTAATATTGGTTTCTTAGTATCTGTAAGGCACTTTAAGGAATTCACATGAGAAGTGAGGTAATAAGGAACAAAAAAATCACTGAATGCTGGGCTTACTGAGTTTGTGTTGTGTACAACCACTCTGTAGATGGAGCAAAATATAAATAATTACTTAACTTTCACAGAATGGGGCTGATGTGGGAAAAATAAATGTTAGGGAGATCTGCTATTTAAACAAAAACAAAACAAAAAAAAAAAAACAAGAAAAAAAAAAGGAAAAAAAAAAGAAAAAGAAAGAAAAAAGAGTACAAGCAGCAACTTTATGACCATTTTGTTACAGCTCTTAAAATGAATCGATGTGCTAGGCTTCCACCTGGTTGCTGTTCTTTTTTGCTTATCTTGCACACGTGTCTTAAATGCCTCTCTGCTAAATGGCAAAATGCTAACCAAAGAGTGGGAGTTTATGTCTGTTCTTGGGAGAACTGAAAATCTTAACAGCACCATATCAGAGTAAAACCCATTGTTTCGTAAATACATCAGGAACTTGGTGATTGTGTGGGAAGATAATGGCGTATTTGCAGTGTTGTTTTTTAATTTTTTTTCTTATTTTCACCTTACTTGCAGTCTTTCAGCTGCCAATTTCCAAAAAAGCTCAGATAATCAACAGCTGGAAGTGAATGAATAAATAGATGCACCCAATCCAACAACCGATTGAACTCTGAGAAAAATTTAATTTTAAGTGTGTGTCTTGGAGTGCTACCAGAAGCCCTTTAAAATGTCATTGTTCTTCAGGGGAAATCTGAATGTGGACAAAAAGACCATCAATAAAGGCTGTCAAAACATCTGTTAAAAATCTGCAAGTTACAAAATATGCATTAGAAAGATAATTAAATATAGATGGCGCAGTTTAAAGGTCTTCATTTTTTCTGGTTTGTAGCAGTCTACATGGAGTAGAGTCAGGTCAGATATACTGCTAGAAGTATATCTACCTTTTTTTAAGTTAAAAAAAGAAAAAACATAGACCATGCTGAGCATTCTTCCCGCTCCTCTAAACCTTTCCAAGCTCCTGGTTAGGCAGAAACAGAAAGTTTTCTCTCTCTGGAGAGTAAAGGAGGAAAATGGCAGCTATGAAGAAGAAAAAAAAGCAGTGATGTTTTTTTGCTCAACCTGAGAATACTAAATACATCGGCCTATCTCTTCTTTCTAGGGGAACAGACTTCCCTTCTACTTAAGATCCACTGTGTGTTTTCTCCTCTACAGCTATCCCTAGCTGGAAAATAACAACTCAAATTCCCTCCTTTTTTTCTTGGCTGAAGTTTTTATCTCAGCAGCTTAGATTTCCACCCTTGGCCAACTCTTTGCACCTGTGCTGGATGCTCACTTGGGCCAGACTTGCTGCCTTGCCTTCATCTCTTGGGCATGCACAGTCTACTGCAAGTAGTGTGATCCTGGGTCCATCACCCTGAAGTGACTGCGACAGTTATCAGCATTTGAACTAACTTTTTGAATGAGAAGACTCTACAACTTTGAGATGTAATCTCTTCAAAAAGAAAGCTTTAGAAATAAAACCAGTTAGGTTTCTATGCTGTAGGTTTTGGAGTTTTGGGGAATGTGCTTTTCCCTTCTGCAATTGTACTTTGTGTGTTTACGTTTATGGCTGCTGTCTGAAAAACCAGGCTTGGCTTACTGACAGCTCAGGTCTGATTCTGCACTAGGGATTGTTTATATACTTGTGTGTATTATGAATTCCCTCAACTGTTCAGGGATGTCTGGCAGCAGGTCCTGATGAGGGACCAGACCAGCTGCATTGTAAAGGAACTGGTGAAGTGCATTGCAAACAAAATAGCTAAAGCATACGGTCGGTGTACCTGAGATGGAGGTGATTCACTTTTGATTTTCTGATTCACAGAATTCACTTTTTGTTCTAACTGACAGTGTTTTACGTGGCCTGCAAACTCAACAATTTAACATCGTAGCTAAGAAAAGGGGGAAATATCCAAACTGAATGCTCTTTAAGTAAATCTGATTTCTAACCTGACTGCAGCCCAGAAAGGACCAGATGGGGTCATCATTCCCAATAACTACTGTGACTTCTGCCTTGGAGGCTCCAATATGAACAAAAAAAGTGGCCGGCCTGAGGAACTTGTGTCGTGCTCAGACTGTGGGCGCTCTGGTAGGTGACTTCTTCTTGCAGCTTTCTTATATAAAAGTGTTTTTGTATTTTGTTTTTTGCTCCTGAAGATTTTGAAGAAAGCCAGCAGATTTGGGAGGGAATAGAAAACAACGTCTTACCTCTTGTCTGTGTTTGTGGAAAAGGATGATTGGGAAATTTTCTGTCATAAAAACAATTTTAAGCTAATGAGATCTTATGAAGTAATACAAGTTTAATGTATTTATTGACTTCTACAAACTTTGGTACATGTACTAGTTGTTCGTTTAACAGAAGAAGAAGACCCTAAAACAATGTTAAAGAATGGGCTCTGTCTTAACTGCTGCAATTACAACTATAAATTACTTACAAGATTTATGAAAGTTGCATGACAAGCATTTCCATTGATTACACATTTCATGCATTTTTTTCATCCAAAAAAGAAAGAGGGAGGAAATTACAGGGTAGGGATGGGGGTAGCTGTCAAGAATTATCCTCTTACAAGATGACTATCATTAATTTTGTTTTAAGACATTTTTATTTCTCCATTTTCTTCCCTTCGCTCTTTTTAAATGTAAGCAATTGTGTCTTTCCCATTCTGGATTGTCTTTATTTCTGGACTGCTGTTTTCTTCCTTCCTTTCTTTTTTTTTCTCTTTTTTTTTTTTTTTATTTTTTTATTTTATCCCAGCTGAACAGTTATTTATAGCTCATGTGAGAGGTGGTGGCAATGGTAGAGGAAATGGAAGACCTTTAATAACTGCATGTTCCAACTTAGGCCCAAGTTTCCAGTTCTGTTATTTCTGGGCAGTGGTGATACTAATGGTGATAAGAATTTCAAATGTAAATGTGGAAACAAAAGAGATCTTGAAATTCAGTATTGTTGCTACTTCTGTGCTATGATCACTGAAAGATGTTTGTTGTGTGATGGCTGAAGTGCAAAGTGAAGTGTTCTTGTACTGAACGAATGGCCTGCTAATACTCCCACTGAAATTCATAGTAAGCCTCTAGTCAAATTCAGTGGGAGCAGGATTAGACTCTCACTGGCGAATTGCCTTCTGCAGTTGTTGTGACCTCTGAAGATCTTCTGAAGTGATACTGACTGGTCACCAGGGGACCAGTGGTGAACCCTTTGGTTTTCTCCAGAGGCTTCCCAAAGAATGCTGCACAAACAGTAACATGGACCTTTTAGTGATACGCGTTTGCTTCTTAATACTTAAAGGGAAAAGCTCATGCGGTCTGTGGTGCCAACTTGGAAGATCATTTCCCTTCCCCTTGGCTGCTGTAGTTCAATATAACTTATTTCAGCATTGCCCTGAGACTGCACAGTGAGACAGATCCATACTTTTTTCTACTTAAACATTGCTATGGTGATTATATCAGGATGAACTAGAAATACATTAATTTCCTTGATGGCTTAGCGTGGTGGAACAAGTAGATCCGCATGTAACCTAAATTGTGCAAAATCAGTTCCATTAAATGCTATCCTTGTACAAATTCTGACCCACCCTGGGTCATTCATAAGGCTCTGCAATGATGTGACTGATGTGTGATGGAAGTGATTAAGGTACAACCACACACTAATCTGTAAACTAAAACATTGAAAAGTCTTTGGTGTCCATCTTCCTCTTTCTTGATAATGGGGAACATTTTCATTATACTGAAAGAGAGGTCGTGGAAATCATCTTGTTTCTTCCCTTCTTAAAGCCACTAAAATCACATCTCTGTAAGGTGGTTCATCTGCCAATTATTTTGTTATATCCACTTTCGTTCTGTGAACAGGATTTAATTCTTTGTTTCTCAAGCAAAGCGGTTTACTTAACCATGCAGTTATATGGCTGATTCCTGTAGCTGGAGTGAAGACCAAATAGTTGGTTACTTAATGTTATGTTAGTGTTTCTGAATTAAAAAACAGCTGTCCCCTACAAACCGACATTCATTTGCTGAGGCACGAGAGACATCTTTTTCTCTGTCATTTTTAGAGAGAGATTCTGAACACTATTTCTATTAATCACGTAACGTGTTTGAGTGAGGTAGAAAATAAACCATACTTTCACAGATTTCAGTATCTGACTTCTGTTTTTCAGCAGTTCTTTTGGTTGCTATTGTTGTTATGGCTGTTCATGTTCTGTGTGGAGAATTACCTGTTCCATATTGAAAGTTGGATTAACATACTCTTGCACTTTTCAGTATTTCCCATGACAGATCTCTTCTTAGGTGATTTAATTGTTGAATTGTTGTTGTTGGGGGTGGTGGAGATATCGTTGAAGGAGATACCATGAAATCAGAATAGAAGTATTTATTTAGCTTACTTTTGCTTAGTCTTCAAAACGTATGTCATTTTGTCTATAGAGGAGGCTCTTTGGGATCAGGTGACGGGCAGGGATAAAAGTCTTGAGGCTGATGAGATGTCTAATGGGTCACTTTTCAATAGCAGTAAAGTTGTAAAAGGTGATGCCGGTCTGAAGGACGGTCATTGTGCTTAGAGCTAATGGTGTCTAATTACTTATATGTGCTAAATATCTCTTTAAATTGATCTAAGTAATCATGAGAAAATATTTTAATGTTTTTGAAGAGAGGAAAATATGATTAACCCTTTCGCTGCCATGGCTATGGGCACCTGTGTTAATGGTAGATTTTTTTTCTTTGTAAGAGAAACTGATCCTTGTTTATTTTTCTCACTGCGGTTCTACCAAGGCATATTGTTGAGGTACATGGGCACGTACAAACACACACCTATAAGCTTGATAGTCTGTATTGTTTAATAGTAATGATACTTTAAAAATGATGATGATGATGCCTGTTGCTTAACCCATGTGCTGATATATTCATCATACATGTCAGCTCATTTGGGAAGAGAAGGCAGGAGGGACGAAGCAGCGCCAACACGCACTACGGAGGACTTGTTCGGTTCCACGTCAGAAAGCGACACCTCGACCTTTCATGGCTTTGACGAGGATGATGCAGAAGAGCCTCTCTCGAGCCGAGGAGGTGGCTGTGGTGGCAGCTCTCCCTCTGCAGACAAAAAGGGCAGCTGCTAAATTAACTAAAAAGACACAAACTCTGAGCAATTTGCTGTCCATTTTACTACTAGAATTATTATTATCTTTTTCTTTTTTTAATTTTAGGTCCTTGGGTGTTGTTGTTTTTTTTTTTTTTTGTTATTGTTGATGTTGTTTTTGTTGTTTTTTTTTCTGTGGGGTGTACACTGAAAGCACAAGCATTTAAAGTTCTTGACAACCATTTTGAAGAGACAGAAGGTTTTGATTTTCCTGTTTTTTTTGTTGTTTTTTTTTTTCCTTTTCATTTTAATTTGTTCTTCTCCCACCTCCTGCCCTTCTCTTTCTCTCTGGAAACATAAAAGGTGGATTTAATATTTTTTTAAATAGTGAGCAGAGTTGATTTTCTTCTCTTTTAATATATATATTGGCAAACCACATAAAATAGAGATGGGTTGGAGAACATGAAAGCAAACCCAAATAGTTTTTTTTAATTATTATTATTATTTATATAATCTATATATTATTAGAAAAAGTTACTTTTTAAATAAAAATACAAAAAAAAGAAAAAAAGAAAAAAAAAAAGCAATGGATGTCTACTTGATGATAGAACTGTTTCTTAGAGAACCACTGTGGATGAACTTCCTTGGAGGACAAGGAAACCCTTGGTGTGATGGCTTCTGCATTTGAGATTTTGCACTTATTGTGGAATTTGGCTCTTCTTGTACACCTGCTGCACTTGTATTTAACAGCTTGAAGACACAAGCAGCTCCATTGAAGACCATGACCTTGGGGAACACATTTCCATCTCTCCTTTGGACACCTTTACAATAGATCTCTTCCTACCTGCACCCCTTCATCTCTTCCTCGCTCAGTTCTACTTTTTTTTTCTTTTTCTTTTTTTAACCTTCACTTCATGGATAGAAATTTCCAAGCATAGGGATGGAATATAAATTGCAAGTCGTAGACGTCAAAGACAAAACAGATGGAGCAGCAGAATCATGGAAGAAATGATATGGAAATATACCTCACCTATACTTTTCTTTCCATTTTTAAATTTTACTTCACAGCATTTTTTCTGTGTTGCCCAGATTTTTCTCTCTGTGGTGTCTTGTGAGACACTTTGTTTGCTTTGCAATAGCTTCTCTTGAAATAAACCAAAGCAATACTCATTAAAGTTCCAAGGGCAATGGAGAAGAGAGTGACTCCCTTCCCAGCGACTATCCCAGAAAGGAGGAAACATGCAGCAGGATTTGAAAGGTATGTCCTGGCTGAAATATCTTTCACTGATTGTGAAATCACTGTTCTCTGGATTTTCAAGAGACCCTTGGCTGATCTTTGTTGTAGAAACAAATCAGAGATAAAATAGAAATTTATTTGGGCAGTGCCTAGTCCTTCAGCTGTGTGTGTGTGTGATGCCAGAATTAAAATGTCAGCCTTGTAATAAAGACTTTGGATATATATTGTTCTAGTACGTGAACGAAGCCTGTCCAGATGGATTCCATTTCTCTTGCTTCTTTTGATGGGTTGTCACAGTACTATCTGTGAGGGCTCTTTCAGCCTTTTTTTTTTTCCATAAACCTTAAAAGAAAGAAAGAATGAAAGGATCCACTCCTGCTGCTTACAGAGGTCTTTTTTTTGTTGTTTTTCTGGTTGACTTTAGGCATGAAATAAGCAGTGGCAAGATTCTTCTGTTGGGGTACATGGATGTACCTGAATGTAAATCCAGAATGGTGTTACTTATGTTTAGATTACATTAATATACTACCCTCAGAATTAGATGTGTTACGAAATGTTGCAAAATAGCTCTATGTGTTTCTAGCATAGAAACACAGAGTGAAAGAGCCACGCACTCATGTGAGGAAGGAACCTTGTTTGAGCTTTTTTCCATATTTACAATCTTTTCCTGTTGCTATTCTGTTCCTGCTGGTGTGTTATAATCATCCAAGTGTCAAAACAATGGTATTTTGACTTAACACTGGCCTGGAGAAGTATACTTTAATTGATTTAATTCATTCCAAAACTA